TCGTTGAACAAAATTTGCTTGTTTGGTTGAGATGCTTCGATCTATTTGTTGCTTTTGACATACGGAAACGCAAAATTTGTTTTGCTTCAGATCAGTGGATAGTGGGTGTTTCACAATATCATAACAAATCGGTAAATACTTGCGCGGCATTTTCATCAGGAGTACCTCAAGGAAGTATTCTTGGACCATTGCTATTCTCTATCTTTATTTCAGATTTACCTACAGCACCAAGTACCAATTTACTAACATTCGCAGACGACACTGTTATATACACATCCGCTAAGTCCGACAGAACTATCATAATCAGACTTCAAGAACACCTGAATGCAATAATGGATTACGCCAATAGATGGTAAATTCGACTAAATATTCACAAATCAGAAGCAATTTTATTTACTAAAGAAAAAAATCACCTGTTCCTCAATCCTACATACACATAAACGGCAATAATATCTTATGGAGAGACAAAGTTAAGTATCTGGGCTTAGTAATAGATAGAAAACTGAATTTCAACGACCATATCAAATGCAAATTAATCATGCTAATAGATTATTATATTTATTGTACCTCTTACTAAAATTTAGCAACAATATTGATCTGAAGAATAAGAGAAGACTTTATCTAGCAATGGTAAGATCAACTTTAACCTATGGAGCCCCTACGTGGTGTATGACCAATAAACAAAACATAAATAAATTACAAATTATACAAAATAAAGCATTAAAAATGATACTCGGAATAAAGAGAAACCCTATCACTTATCATTATGTATCCAATCACTATCTTCGCAACCGACTGAATATACCATTTATATATGAAATTATAAAAAAGTAAGCAAGGAAATTTTTTGAAAAATGCAAACATAGTAATAACCCAACTATTACGGATATTGGATCTATAACTCAAGGTATGTTTTAGTACAACAATTACAACCTACCGACAGTCATTCATAATAAATAACACTATAAGACACCTCCAAAAATCAACAGTGTAATATGGTTTTTTGTGATTTTTTTCCATTATATCTTTAATTTATTTAATTTATACAATCAATAATGTTTCAAATGATATATATCAATGAATTGTATTACTATCAGATGATAGATATACAAAATCTTATATACTCACTTTTTCTTTTATGTAATATAATATGGAACAAATAAATCTTTTCAAACAAACAAGCAAACTTTCGCGGCAAGTTTATTACCAACATTATCTATGAATTATACAGAACTTCATTTGCATTCGGATTAACACTACCGTAGATAAACGTATAGCAAGATACAACAGATTCATAGGTTCACTCCCTGTTCAGACACGCGCCGTGAGATGGCATCTAGTTAGTTTCGCCGATTAGCTTAGCTTAAATTTTTTAGAGTTACCAAAAACTGCAACAAATTTTATCCACATTTTCAAAAACAAATCCCGAACCGATTTTGAAAACAAAACACTGTTCGCAAGACATCAGTCGCAAATCGTGCTGATTAGTTTGCGGTAAAGATTGCCAGTGTTGTTTCTTCATATTCATTGTTAATTTTTTACCATTTTAATAAATCTACAGTGTCTATATCTAAATAATCTAATTCATAGAGTGCATGGGTTTGATGAATATGATACGCCTACGAAAAGTAGGCGTATGTGCAGTATGTGCAGTTGTTAAATTATACAAATTTATTAAGACTTGGAATAATTGTGTAAATAAGCTTGCACCGAATATTCGGTTACTATTCCGAATTCGGCATATTCGGCACCTTTTTTAATATTCGGCCGAATACCGAATAGTTAAAATCAAAGGCGCCGCCGCCGCTCAGCGACAGCATCGTTGGTGTTTTATCTTTTATGCGATAAAATGCTCGCGATGGATCTGTCTCTGGGTATGAAGAAATGATTTCGTATATATAATAATTTAAACTTTATCGACTTTTGACATTATCAATGAAGACGTGAAGAACTTTTTTCTGAATGTTTACAAGATACTTTATTGTTACATGTTTATATTATTTAATATGAATCATTCAATGGTTACACACAAGTGTTGTATCAATACAATAAATTCATTCAGCATTTCCAAATAAAAAAATATTGTTGGTTCTTTATCGAAATATACTGATAGTAATTACATTACGAGCTTAGGCGCCAAAAACCTGCCGAATATTTGGTATTCGGTCTTTATTCGGTATACGTGTTAGATGCGCGTTTATTATTCTTTCAATGTTTAACATTTATTATTTAGGTATTTGCCAAAAATAACATGTTTGGCAAATTTCGCACAAATTTGAATAATTTGCAATAGCTTCTCACATTACCACCAACTTGGTATACTTACAAACCGCTCGTAAATTAATATATTGATTTTGTATTGATTGAGTCAATTTAACTCAAGGCAAAATGCCACTTACAGCAATTCTGAATTTTCATATATATTTTATCGTGATAAAAATTTTAAAACTATTTTTATTACAGCAACCGTTTTGATTAATTTAAAACGCGGTATGGATTTATTAATATATTGAAAATTTCCATACTACGGTTGGTTAAATTACTAAAGCTTATGTTTCTAAATAAATGTTTTGCGAATAAAGTTTTCCTCTACTAATAAATATGCAATTAATTTAGTTTAGACAGTAAAATTGTGCTAATTATATTGTATAAGAAATTATAACTAAAAACTTTAATCTTGATATCTTTCTTTTGTATTCCATCTATATGAAAAACATTTGGTTTCTATGGATATGTTTTGACATTTGCGTTCTCATGTCTTTTTGTTCCTTGTCGTTACCTAAAATATTTGTTAAAAATATTTTCAATGTATTAATAATAATAAAAGAATATATTCATAATTTGTATCTGCTTACAACTATCAGAATTATAGTCAAAAATTTTATCTATTAATAAAAACATTACTTGGTTAAAGTGCTGTCATGTTCTTTAGCGAAATATAAAATTAATATACCTGCAAGTATAATACCAAAGATATATTTTATCTTATAATTACATTATTTTCACTTCAGGAAAATGTAAGGAAAGTAAGTGCTTTTCTATATACCTGTGTATACAAATTGTAATAGAATCAAATATCACTTAGAAATAATAACTTTTAATTTAAAAAGAACAAATCTTACATTATATCATTGTGCAAAAATGTAGATGTAAATAAAATATTTTCTTTTTTTTAAACACATTATACTAATTTAAACCTATATACACTAAAAATTTCTATGAATTTAGTTCTTAATAATAAATTTCGTGAACATAAAAAATAATATACAGATAATTAATAATATACAAAATAATTTTTTGATCCCACATTTGAATATTTGTCAAATCGTGTAATATGACAATCTATCAAACATCTTACTTTCTTTATTTTAGTGGCATTTAAGTTCTAGATTAATGAATAATAAAAATTAAACAAATTACAATAATTTCGGTTCATCTCACTTATAACTGCTATCACAAATCCCTGCTTTTTTGCAGTAACTCATAAAAATTTGCTTCATTAATTATAAGTTTTATCCAATATCTTTTGCATTATTTGATTTTCAGTAGCGTTTTGATTTTCAACATCTTTCATATCTGTTTTTATTTTTTTATACCATTTTCAATAAACAAAAAGCAAATAAGATATCAATAACATGTTTGCATAAATTCCAAGTCTTCACCATGAATCTTAATATGACCAAATAATCCAATTTTGTTCAAAATCTCAAACAGATCAGAGTAATAAAATACATGTGTTTTACGTTTTATAAAAATATCATACACATTAAGTATTGATTACTTCATAATTGATATCCATGCAATTGCATTTATTGCAACTTTAAAGAATTTGTAATTCGAACACTTTCAAAGATATAAAATATTGAAACTCAAATAGAAAGTTCAACTTAAAATCAAATAAACTAATCACAAACACATTATTGTTGTTCATTGGGCTGAAATATTTTATTTAAAGGCATCATACAGCCTCCAAACACAGAATACAGCTGCAATTGTTGTAACAGTTGAATGTAAGATAACACGGCGTTTAATACTCTTTCTGACAAGAATTGTAGGATTATTTGATTGCAGAGTATTCAATATAGGTAGTTTTGCTAATTCTTCTGTATGTTTTTCTACTTGATAATAGCAACAGGGATCAAATTGCCAAGATACAGTATATAAAGTTGTACAGAACCAAGATATTGCTGCCAAGGGCGTTATCACAAGGGGTCTATTAGGCCATAATATACCTATAATAACATAATGCATGACTCAACAAAAAGCTACAATTAAAATTTAACTGCCAATTATATTATCCAACCAACTACAAGTATTGTTGTATGTATATGTTTATTTTTGAAACGCTGCATTATTCAAACCTCTTTAATTTAATTTTTAATAACTAAGCATTAAGTTTGTCATAATTTTTTCAAAATATTCTTTTTCAATTCACATTTTGGAATATTAAATTGATAGAAAACAAACCAGTATAACTATGGCATGATATTTCAACAACAAGATCATAATTTAAGTCAAACATAAACAATTAACTATAATAATAAATTCCAAAATTATTATAAACTTAAAAGATTGGTAATGGTGATAATAATGAATGTTTAAATTATTATTGCTTGAAATATATGCTAATTGTCTCTTTAAAATTATGATTAAAAATGATTTTACATTAGAAACTCAGAAAACCAGCCACATAATAAAATAAATTACCAAATAAAATGAATTAAAATAAAATATTCAATTTTATATACATAAGAATTTGATCAAAATCAGCAATTATTGAAGTAAATACCACATTGTCATGTTATAATAATTAAAAAAAATTATATATGTATATAATAGAATAAATAAATGCATACCAAATCCAATAACTCCTAGTCCAGATAAAACAGCAGTTTTATGAAGACAATTTCCAACAGAAATCCAGCGACCAGTTTCATCACCAAGACGTGTTGGTTCTATAACTATCATATAATAGCCTATGTCCAATGCTCTTTCCAATTCCAATTCAAAAACTTCGTAGGCATTTTCGCTGTCATACACTTCTCGAATTACAGCAATATGTGGAGTATTAGGGGCTCTAAAAATAATCAATGCTTGTAGATATAAAAAATAAGCAAGTACAATAAAAGAAGATCTTGGATTTATTTTTAACACTAAATTCACAATCACATCCACAACCTTGCATACAATGAATTTTAGTGTGATCAATAAATAAATAATATGCATATATATGTGTGTGTGTATGTTGCATATTTATAAAATGCAAACAAAGAAAAAATATTATTTGAATGAAAAGGATTTAAAAATACATATCCAAAAAATAAACAATAACAAATTCATTAAATTATAATATATATATATATATATATATATATATATATATATATATATATATATATGTAATGGTTTGATAAAATGATAAATCAAAACAATCAATTCATTGTTCAAAATGAATTTAGCATTTTGCCCCCAGAATAAAATTTGAGTTTATCAAAACAACCGAAAAATGTAGTTATCGCTAACTTTAACACAATGACAACAAGAATTTTTCGCATTAACTTTCACATTTAGTTTGTAAATACATGCAAGCAAACTCACTGAGTATTGTCATCGCCCGACATTTTCTATACACAATACTATTATACCCAGTTTCTTACTCCACTGTTAATATCACAACAATGGATAAGAAATAACACTACCAAACTGATTCGATATTAAATGGACTATTTATCAGACGATAAATAAATTTACAATCGTTATAACTCGCAATTCATTATTATGTGTTGTATAATAAGAAATGGTTCAGTTATGAACTACTATTTTAGCCTCCATATGGTAGATGTCGCCATTAACAGAGTTAGTGAAGCAATGAACCACATTACGGTTAATCAGATTCCAATAGGATTCAATTCTAATAAGAACATTCCAATATACATATCACAGAACATAAACGCGTAGGCTATATTCGTATACCAATCAGGGTGCATGGCTAGCATGCAATGCACCGCACGCAGGCGGCCAAATCAGAGAATAAACAAATTAAGAGGTGGCCAAAACTGGCCGCAATAAAAAGCCATCGTTTTAAGACCCAACTGAATTACAAGGCGGCCAAAATGAAAAGACCGTTGTATTAGGAGACCAAAGCCGGTGAATTTATTCACGATCGTATTGAAAGTCCGCTGAATTGAAAGACGGCCATAGTAAAAATCAGCTAAAGGCGGGCCGTATTGGAGATTTTCAAATTTTACCTTTGTAATGGCTTTTGAATTTCCAAAATCGATTCACGAATTTTGGCTAAAATTTGACACTTTTTTGATAATTCTAAAGAAACTGATCGGCCGATCGTGAGGCAAAATTAACCAGCACGAGTGCTTATCGAATTTCATCGATTTTTCAAATCAGATTGCGCATTTTTAAGAAAATGTCGACTGAAGATAAAAATATGACTCACGTAAAAAAGCACTGCTTATTTGCTCAAACTTTGATTATATTTTAAAAATTAAAACTACTTAACGTAGGGTCGAAATATTTATATAGTTACCTATATTTGAGACTATGATCTCTACTGCCAAAAAGGTTTCATAAATATCAACATAAATGAATATTTAACAATAAAAACGAAGAAACGATCTGGACGATCTCTCAAAACTAATCAGCACAATTCCCAAATGATATCTTTCGATGCAGAATTTTGGCTAAAATGTGTACGAAAAATTTTACACTACTCTTTTGATTAGAAACGGCTAGGTTGATCGTTGCACAAAACTCACAGATGCTAGCCCACACAGCACATGGTTGACATAGGGTCAACCTATGGTCGTCACAATGGGCTGTAGGGTTAACCTATGGTCAACCCACTGGTACCATATATGAACATAGGTGAACCCATGGCGGCACATATGTCAGAGCCCTGGTTTGACCCATGGTCAACCCGCCGGGTTCAATACGGGTATGCTATGGGGCTGGAATGGTATCGCGATGGGTCAAAATGGCGGTATATAGTGCAACAATTGTTGCATACTTTCCGTGCGTATTTGTATTAAATATAAATAATCCATATAGTTATAAAAATCAAATGAGCTAAAACTGCAACTCCATAAGTAATATATTTATTAAAAATAATTTCATTTACATTACTAGAAAATAACTAAATTAAACTAACTTAACTAAATTTTTGGTGATTATTATCCTAAAACCTATTATTTTCTATGTATAGTATTATTATTATTTATATAATTTAAACTAATTATTCACATTGGGTTCACCATCTTCTAAAGCACTGAAAATAACAAAATTTGAATTATAGTTTTACAGGTTTATTTTATCAAATAAAAAATGTTAGTTGACATTTTCGAAATATGTGGAATATATTTCAACTTACGGAAAAATGCAAATAAATCTGTCATGGGCATGACGGTATATGTATATTTAGCAGTATATATAATTGATTTGTCCACTTTTATCCATTGGGTAACATCATATTTAGCGATATCTCTGCTATTCTCACATCTGTCAATAGCTGCTCCACATCTAGCAGTTCTGCCTCTGTCCGAACAGGAAATTTATTATAAACTGCCAGTGTATAATCAGGCAAATCATCCTTCATATCACACTGGCATCACTGCTTATTAAGCCTATATTCATTAAAACCTGGTGCCGTAATGAATCAGCCTTTTTATTAATATTGAATGTAAAATCTGAACAATATACAACCTTATACTGAGGTTTACCACAATATTCTATCAAATGTCCTTCGAAATGCATAGACATCTCACAAGCTCTAGGCATGGCTACAGGCCTTACATGTTTTCCCATAAAAAGTTCTTTTACCTCAAAGTATCTTTCATAACTTTGCTGCAATGGTTTCTCTGACTTCCGTATGTATTTTTTCAAGACCTGCATGTAATTCTCAAATTTAAAGGCACTAAATGAATCAAGTGTACCAAAACTTCTGGTGTCATTAGCTAAGTGTAAAATGTTATATATATTATGACTTACATAATGATCTCCATATAAAACCTTAAATCTTTCAACAAAATGATGAAGTAGTTGCTGAGCATAATCTAAAAGATCATTTAATAACGTGTTGCTACATAAAATTTTAATAGCAATATGTAAAGTAAGAAAATTTTTATAAAAGTCATTTGAAATATGACATGAGATTTCAAAACTACTGGACCACTATACAATAATAATTGTCTAAATTCTGTAGCTTTCCATGGTCTCATATATTTCAATGATCGAGGCTTCCTAGCAAAGTCCTTGGATATATAAATCTTTAAGCTGCATAAAAAATTGGAAAAGTCATTAGTTTTAGCACATGGCAAACGAATTGGAAGCTCACCTTCAGTCCACAAAAGCATCAATCTCTTAACTGCTCCTAAACAAATCAAATTCATATAGTCAAGTGGTACATTAGTAACTAAACAAATGTACGGTATTTCAAGCAATCTCGTATAGCCATTGTGGTAGTCTTCATCTTCTAAGCTTCGAAAGTGTTCAGCTGTTCTTGCAGGTGATTGCATTTTTGGAAAGCAAATTCTGCGATTAATATTTGAACCACGAGCAAGACATTTCGAGCAACAGAAGCAGCCTGTGTGTCCCTTTTCTGCAATATAAATGATTTGGCGGGAGTATCACAAACAAAATATTTGATGCGTACCTTATATTGTTTCCCATTGTGATCAAAACCCTCAGTGCTTAATAGACCAAGCTGACATGTTCGAAGAATTCGAGAGAGGCAAACCATCTACATTAATTTCTAATTCAATGATAGAAGATATCAATTTCAACCTATCAATAGAATCTTTCAATCCAGTTAATAAACCAAAATGAATATATTCACCTGGACTTACAACTTTTGATACAGCAGTTCTTTTTGTTTTCAGAAGTGTTCTACTATCTGCTGGTAAATCACTGAAACAATCATGAAGTTTTAGCCCTTCAAGTAGTGCGAATACAGCATTATGAGGTATCTGACAATTCACAACCCAGTCTGCTAAAAATTGTCTTGCATCAAAAACTTCAGTTATATCTTCATTGGAACTATCCTCGCTATATGAAAGAGAAATATAATCATTTGTTTCAACATCACCCTGTAACTCTGCCTGGCAAGAAGACGGTCCTTCAAAGTCATCTCCAATAGAAGCATTAGTCGCAGTTTCAATATTATCTATTGTAAAAGCACTAGTACTAGGCAATCCTTTACGCATTCAGAGTTCTGCAAAACACTTTCCGAACGTAATTTCTGCACTTCCCAAAAAAGTCTTCTATAAAAATGTCTATCTGACACAGTCGCAATGTGTTTGCGAATTTTTTTATCAGACATATATATTTATAGAATTTTTTTTGACAAATTACAGAGTCAAACGACAAACAAATTACGAATATATTATATTCTAATATTGTTTAGAATTTTAGTAGCATAAGTATACGTATACAGTACTCAGGTTATATTTGTTCATCGTGTTTATCTATGACAGTCATGAGAACAGACAAAGAAATACAAATGCCGAACAACATAAGTGCCGCCATCTGTGCGCTAGTTGTGCAAACGCCGCGCACGCGTATGCGCATGCGCGGTATATTTGAATACATTTTTCATTTGCCCATAACAACTCGGTGAGTAATGGGTCAGAGTAGGTCGACCATTGTTTGACCCGGCGCGTAACGTATGGGTCTAAGCCCACTGCGTCATAAATTGGCCCATAATGGGCTTATAATAACCCGGTAGGCTGTAAATGGTACCAAACAGGTCGACCATTGTTTGACCCGTGCTGTATGGGAGACGTTATCGAATTATATCAAATGTTTTAAATTTTTGAAATCGATTTCACTGCTTTTGGGAAAACGTTGGCGAAAAGTCAAGTCATTTTTTGTTCAATTCTCAAATAATTTAGAATTACGAAAAACGTCGAGAAAACAAAATTTACAAGTCGAAAATTTTCGTGGAAATATATTTGATATTTTCTATCATGTTATTTTGAAGTGCGGCTATATATATGCTCGCACGCAGGCGGCCATATACCCGGACACAGCCCTGATACCAATAAATTTGTACCTCAATCCACTCCGAAAATAAAGGTGGTCTATAAAATGATGTAGGCATCCTCTCACTCCAGAATTAAGATTTTTCATAAAAAGTTTGATTCGTTTCTTCCATAAGGAGCAATAAATCCGACTTTTATAAAATGTCTGGCAGACCATTTTTATTGACGTTTTAATTAAATTGATTAGATATTTCACAAAATCTAAATTTTTTTTTTAGACAGTCTTTTTTTTAATCATTTCCGTATCGAAATATGTATAGCGCTCTGAATATTTTTAAATGTTTAAAATATAGTTAAATGTTTTCAAATAAATTATTAAAATATTGTAACTTTCATTATTCGTATTTTATAGACAAAATATAAGAGCTTATACAACAACGTTTATATATGTTTACAAAAAAAAAACTAAATAAACAAAATTTAATCAATCGGAGTTAAAAAGAAGGATCCTATCTCATATTTATAACAATCATATACACTGCATTGCAAAGTTAAAATTATTTATTTAAAGTATATATGTGAGCTTTCGAATTTGAGATAAAATTGAAATAAAATCCGAATCATTGTCGAAATGAAAAAAAAAATTTTTTTGTTTTGATATTTTGAAATGAACAATTTTTTTTTGCTTTGCCCAAAAAGAGTTGTCTCGTCAACTCAAGCCAGAGGTTTTTTGAATCAATCAAATCATCAGATGCTTCGTGATCTCAAAAACTGCAAGTTTTTGCACATTTAGACCTGCCTTGGCCAAAAACTAATCACCACTTCTTCCTGTCATTACGAATTGAATGTCTTAAATCATTTAAATCGGATGCTCCGTTCTCTCAAAAACTCAATTTCTATTTTCTACACTCTTTGCTACTAGACGGCTAGACTTGTCTTTGCCAAAAACTAATCAGCACGTCTCCCCATCGTTAGGAATTTAATCATTCAAATCTGTTTATCCGCGCTCACGAAAACATAGGCAAAGACTTGTATCCATACATACGCACACACACATACATACATACATTTTTTCTAAGGTGTGCCGAAATGACCTTCCAAATACAATCAAAATACCTTTGAAACATAAAGATATGCAAAAAGGTCATTTTCAATTTTTGGACAATTGCAATAACTTACCCTATGGAAAGTTTATAAACTAGGTGTAAGAGTGGCATTTTGTTTTTGCATCTACACATGTGTAAATAATAACTTAATCCATATATTAATTTATAAGTATACTGAGTTGCTGTATAGCTTATAATGTGAAAAGCTATTGCAGAATATTCAATTTTATACAGATTTTCCGAACATGTTAGTTATTTACGACAAATGTTTTAAATATTACACATTATATTAAAGACGAGCACGCGCCTAATACTTTATCAAAATTTTTATTAATTTTTATAAACACTTGTTGTAGTTTTTGAACTTTTAAGTTAGGTTTTAATCAAACCCAGGAACTATATTGCCATACAGAGTTTCACTAAACCCGCCAGAATTATTTTTGCTAAAAACTAATCAGCACGATTTCCAAATGATATCTTTCGAATAGTTTTTGATGAACAAAAACAGTTCAGAATTTTTGGATAAAACTTTTGGCTATATATTCATATTTATCAAATTATATTATACCGATGTTTTGATACAGAATTTAAATTTACGTTCATGATGAAACAAACCATAGCCTCAAAACACCTGTAATATTAGTTTTTTTTTTTATTATAGTTTGTCTTAGTAACGAGCTCACATAGTTCAATTAGCATGTTTTACCGCATGCTCCACCTGATAAAAAGCTTTAAAACATCTATAGAGCACGAGCATTTTTTGAAATAATAGTTATACATCTCTAGTATATAATATGGCAAAGAAATGATATTGAAACAAAATTTCAAACAATAAGTACTGTGAGTCTATTTCATATTTAAAAAAAAAAATCTTTGACACAGTAATATGTAACACATGTTGAACAATGTAACGAAAATTATAATTTATTGCAAGAAGTCTTTCACTTCATCTAACTCTCTTTCACGAGCCTGCTGGTGGGCCCATCGGTCTTCAGCAAGTCTTGGATTCACTCCCCACTTCTGGTGATGCAATCTTTCTGTGCAGATTAGACATTTTTTACCATCTCGGGGAAAAGGAGGAGATGCCAAATATCTTGTTAAACACTCCTAAAAAATGTTTCATAAAATTAATACTCATGATGCAATACACAAACAATATAGTTTAGATATAAAATATATAGTTTTCGCCAAACCATCAACAATGATCTCAACTTTTCAATCATGTTAAAAAAAAAATTATGTTATTATTTGAATGTCAAAGTTAAATGTATTATATATAATTAAATCAGCCCAAAATTCTCAAACAAAATACAAACCTGGTGATATAAATGATTGCATAAAGCTCTCTCGACATGCTTAGGGTTTTTATCACATTTTATAGCATCCTAAAAATGTATATATAACAATTGAATTTTGTTTTCAGCATTTCTTAACATAGTAATTTACAAACCATTGGATTATCAGGTAAACATTGTTCTTTACACACTGGACATTTCTCATGCTGAAATCTGATGACAGTTTCTATCATGAATTTTACTGAAGGCTCTAAACTGGGTTTAATTTGAAAAGGTTGAGGTGCACTCTGCTTCTTTGTTTTTATTTTTCTCAATGGAGGCTCAACACATTGCCTAGCAATCTCAGTAAATTGCCCAACTAAGTACAAATTGAAAACTTCAGGAAAATTTGCTGTATATTCTTCAAGCCTAAAAATGTATATTTTACACATATTAAAATGAATATATAGAGATACATATATTCTGTATAGATATATTACGCATACTTGACACATTTATTTGGATATTCTCGGGGTATAAAGATTCTCATTTTCACTTCATAATTTCCACTGAATATATCCACATGAATGCAGCAGGATTTCTGTTTTAATTTTAATGTACCATTTGATTTGATTATATTCTTGAGTTTATTTACTTCATCATAACAGCAACATAAAGGATATTCCAAAAAATATGTGCGAATGAATTTGATAGTTTTCATCACCTACAAATATATATATATATATATATATACTCGTATATATATATATATATATATATATATATATATATATATTAGGGTGGTCCTTAAAATGTTAATTTTTGAATTTCGTTGCTCCCAGGTACTCAAATGGTTCCAAATTGAGAAAAAACAATTCTCTGAAAGTTTTAGCTCTTAATATTAACGTTTAGATAGAGCGCAATTCAATCAAAGTTTGTATGGGAAGAGCATGGGAAAAATTTTGAAAATTAAAAAAAAATGTTTTAGGTATAACTTAATGACAAATAAATGCGTTTTATTCATTCATTTGTTCGCTAAATTACATCTAAAGAACATTTTTAAAATTTTTGAAAAATTTTCCATGCTATTTCCATACAAAACTTTGATTGAATTGCGCTCTATCTAAACGTTAATATTAAGAGCTAAAACTTTCAGAGAATTGTTTTTTATCAATTTGGAACCATTTGAGCCCCTGGGAGCAAGGAAATTCGAAAATGACCATTTTAAGGACCACCCTAATATATATATATATATATATATATATATATATATATATATATATATGCATATTCACTCAAACTTTTCCTGTTTGAATAAATCTTATACATAAACAAACATAAGTTAAAAAAAGACAATACCAACCAATTCATTTATTCAGTACATGTAATAAAAAGTTTATTTAAAAAAGGGTAGAAATTGATACATTGACTCGAGAAAGTAAAGAATATAATAGATATAAATTATTATCTAATAAAATATATATCAAAAGTTATTAAAAAGGAATTAATTATGACGACGGTTAAAATATATTTTTAAATTATTCTAAAATGAAATATAACTAGGTTCTTTTGTATCACTAAAGCATGTAAAACAATATTCAATATTTTGAGTCAACTTTTCTATTATTTCATTGCTGTACTTTTGTCACTACTTGCATAATCAACAGTTAACAATAGATGTTTCATATTGTCATATTAATAATATAAATATATAATGTAGTTTATATATAAAATAAACCTGTGGATGTCCAATATCGTTTTTTAAATTTTTCTCACATAGTGTAGTAAGTCCTTTAAGAAAGTCATTCGACAACGTTTTGGATTTTAATTCCAATAAAAGATAATTCTCTGGATAGTTACTCGGAAACTGTATGCACAAAATAATTGTATTAAATGATGTCGTGCTAATTTCTACACGAACCTGGAATTAAAAGCACAAATTTATTATGTGTGTACATTTATATACTTGCATATGAACATACACAAACGTAACCTACCCACATACACTATTACTACTACACACACATACTATATATATATATATATATATATATATATATATATATATTTATATATGTTTAATTTGAGTTTAATATTCGGGCGTAACATCAATAAAAATAGTATGAGTTTTTTTTTTAAATTTATTTATTTAAAATCCATACGTTTCGGCTAGCATCTTAGCCATCATTCAGTGGTAATCAAGTTAACTATAAAAATTGAAACTAAATAAATTATATGAAAGGAAATTTCATGGAAAAACAATAATAATAATAATAGTAATAAAACACTTACAATTTTCTATCCTAATATAGCATATGAAACCATTATTAATCCATGGTATGAGTATGTGCACATTGATAAGATATATATTTTTTAACACAAACATCACAAATAGTAAAACACACTAATAATCATGATAACTTAACAAGTTGTCGAAACTATGTATTTACTCTTCGGAGTTTAGGATAGAAATGTCACATTTTTCTCAAAGCAGTTTTTAGCATGTGTTGATATTTTTTTGAAAAATTTAAAAGGCGATGGAATTTTGTTATTTTTTAAGGAATTTTGACACGCTATTAAGAAACCACGTGTTCGTTTCGTTCAGGGCCGTATTGTCAAAGCGTTTGTTTATGACTTTGTCGTTATGTAATTGTAAAAACAACCCCTCAGCGAATCTTCTTTTAATTGTATTCTCTTCAAAATGTAAAATTTTAGGGTTAAAAAAATCGATATTATGATTTAAATTTTTAATATGCTCAGTTAACATTGTTTTAAATTGCTTGGGATTTTTTGAATTATTTTTGTGTTGATTAAGGCGTTTACTCAGGTTTTGGCTAGTTTCTCCAATATAAAAGAGTTCGCAATTAGAGCAATTAATTTGATATACCAAATTCCTGAGGCGGTCAAAATTGAACTTAGATTTCATTTGTGTAAAATTGAACTAAGGGTTGCATCACAATTACATACCAACAGAATGCCACACTGTTGAAATAGTTTTTTCCACGAGAAATATAAATCTTTTACGTACGGTAGGCAAATGACACCAGTATATGATTCTAAGTCTAAGCGGTTTTTATGGTCTGTGAGGTCTTTTTGTTTGTTAAAAATGTAACTGCGTCTGTTATTTATGACCGAGTTGATTATGTTCGTAGGATATGAGTTGTTTTTCAGTGTGTTTATAACCAGGTCAATGTTCGTGTCCCAGAAGTTTTTGTCAGATAGTAATATGGCGTGGTCTGTTAAATTTATTATTGTCGCTATTTTCATTTTAAGAGGGTGGTATGAGTGGTAATAAACACACTGAAAAACAGCTCATATCCTACGTACATAATCAACTCGGTCATAAATAACAGACGCAGTTACATTTTTAACAAACAAAAAGACCTCACAGACCATAAAAACCGCTTAGACTTAGAATCATACATGGTCTGTTCAAAAAGTACCCGGAATTACTAATAATTAAATTTCGCGGGTCTGGAGTGTCTGATTGTCAAAATTTATTGTGTTGGTATACATGCCCCTAAAGTATGATGAAATTTTCAGCTATATTCACTGTTTACTTTGTCTGTGGTAGTCGCTAAGGTTCGACGTGTTTTTCTGAGCTCGGCGATTTTTACAATGGAAGAATTGAAAAAGTCAAAGAATTTGTATTAAATTTTGCGTAAAAAATGAAATAAAGTGTTGCAAAGTGCAAAAATTCACCAGATATGGCTCCGTGTGACTTTTTCCTATTCCCAAAGTTGAAGAGACCCATGAAAGGACGGCGGTTTTCCTCGATTGAAGAAAATCGCCGAGAGTGCTCAAGGACATATCAAAAAGTGAATATCAAGGGTGCTTCGAAAATTGGAAAAAACGCTGGCATAAGTGTATTATATCTGGGGGGGACTACTTTGAAGGGGACCACATTAATGTAGACGAATAAATAAATATTTTTTTGAAAAAACGAAAATTACGAAAACTTTTTGAACAGACCTCGTATACTGGTGTCATTTGCCTACCGTACGTAAAAGATTTATATTTCTCGTGGAAAAAACTATTTCAACAGTGTGGCATTCTGTTGGTATGTAATTGTGATGCAACCCTTAGTTCAATTTTTACACAAATGAAATCTAAGTTCAATTTTGACCGCCTCAGGAATTTGGTATATCAAATTAATTGCTCTAATTGCGAACTCTTTTATATTGGAGAAATTAGCCAAAACCTGAGTAAACGCCTTAATCAACACAAAAATAATTCAAAAAATCCCAAGCAATTTAAAACAATGTTAACTGAGCATATTAAAAATTTAAATCATAATATCGATTTTTTTAACCCTAAAATTTTACATTTTGAAGAGAATACAATTAAAAGAAGATTCGCTGAGGGGTTGTTTTTACAATTACATAACGACAAAGTCATAAACAAACGCTTTGACAATACGGCCCTGAACGAAACGAACACGTGGTTTCTTAATAGCGTGTCAAAATTCCTTAAAAAATAACAAAATCCCATCGCCTTTTAAATTTTTCAAAAAAATATCAACACATGCTAAAAACTGCTTTGAGAAAAATGTGACATTTCTATCCTAAACTCCGAAGAGTAAATACATAGTTTCGACAACTTGTTAAGTTATCATGATTATTAGTGTGTTTTACCATTTGTGATGTTTGTGTTAAAAAATATATATCTTATCAATGTGCACATACTCATACCATGGATTAATAATGGTTTCATATGCTATATTAGGATACAAAATTGTAAGTGTTTTATTACTTATATTATTATTATTGTTTTTCCATGAATTTTCCTTTCATATAATTTATTTAGTTTAAATTTTTATAGTTAACTTGATTACCACTGAATGATGGCTAAGATGCTAGCCGAAACGTATGGATTTTAAATAAATAAATTTAAAAAAAAAAACTCATACTATTTTTATTGATGTTACGCCCGAATATTAAACTCAAATTAAACATATATATCAACATCAAATTCAAGACTATTCAAAAAAAAAAAAAAAAAAAATATATATATATATATATATATATATATATATATATATATGGATTCGTCGTGGCGAAGATCGGTAACGCGTTATTTTTGTTAATCAAGACTTTAATGTCTTATTTACAAAATTGATAACGGTGTAAAATGGCAATGGGAAACCTCTCACACTATTCTTCCCTGAATCGAGTTGGAGTTTAACTCAGCTCACGGACCTGCCCTAGGGCAGCACTACCCATTATTATTATTATTATTATATATATATATATATATATATATATGTATGTTTTTCTACCGAAAAATTTATCCATTCTTGGTATATGTTTAATTACGACATTTCGAAATTATATACGTTCCATTATTAACTTCCCGTATGGTAAGTTATAGTAATCGCAAAAAAATCGAAAATGAAAATTTTTAATATATCTTTACATTTCAAAGGTTTCTGAATATTTTGGCATACCTTATTGTTAGAAAAATGGATGTATGTGTGTGTGTGCGGATACAAATTTTCGTCGACGATTTCGGGAACACCGATCAACTGATTCAAATAATTCAAAAAGCATTCAATTCGTACTGATAAGGAGACGTGCTGATTAGTTTTTGACGAAGGCAGGTCCAAAGATACGGGGCAAAAAGTGCCAAAAACGGTAACACAGTTTTTGAGAGAACGGAGCGTCCGATTTTAAAAATTCAAAAAACATTTTACTTGTATTGACAAGATGAATAACTGACTAAATTTTTGGGAAGCCAGGTCTAGCGGTTATGGACTCTCAATATTTTTTTTTTAATGTAATTTGACGGTAAAAATGTTCACTAAACATTAGCACATTTTTCATCATTTTGAAAAAAATATCTAAATTTCGGAAAATTTGAAAAACATTGAAATTAAAAAAAAACAATTTCTTACAAAAATTTATTTTTTCTCGAAATTTTCAAAAAAATCGGACATTTCCAAAAGTTTCCAAATTTTTTCGAGAATTTGAAAACAATTTTTTTTCAATTTAAAATCAAAGAAATCAAATTTAAAAAAAAAAATTTAAAAAATCTTGTAAGCATACACATAAGTTGTTCGTAGAATACGCTCGTCGCCCAATAAGCACATATAAATTTACAGTATGTATTTATAATAAATAATCTCTTTGAAATTATTTAAAACAATTATTGAGTATTCTCATTCCTCGAATTTTTAATTACGGTACGGAAAGTTCCAGCAATTTGCCTTAAGGCACGATGCCATGCGCCCCACTAGTTTGGTTTTTCTATCAAATACAATTATTCATAAATTAACAATAATGATGATGATTATTATTGAATATTAAAAGAAAAAATAAAAAAATGGTACCAAATAGAAGTAGTCAAAATTAGTACCAAATGAAGTAAAGTCAAAACTGCTTTTTACAAGTGCTTTGACAAAAAATGAGTAATATGGATTGGAAAATAATTTTCGCAGATTTTTGAAAAATCTGATGAACCCATATTACAATATTATTATAATGCGAAAAGTAAATTTTGATTTTCAAATAAAGTATTACTAAAATTAATTTTTTATAAGTTTCAATGCTAATATTTGATCTCTGATAGCGGTAAATATATGGTGATTATACGTGACAATTTAATTTCTTTGAACGAGAAAATGAAAAGGATGCGAGTAAAACATTTACATTACATATTGTCTAGGGTGTACTACTTCAAAAAAAAAAAAAAAAAAAAACACCAAGACCGTTAGGCCATGTCATTTTTGAAATGGCATCAAATGCAACATGAAACCATTTTATATGTATTTCATATGAAACAAAACGAACTTTGTCTATAGGCTAAGACAGTTTTTAGAAATATTATGATAAAATCAACTAGATCATTGATAAATTAAATAACCTCGCATTCGATTCACCCAAAGATTAGTAACCCAAATAACATTAATATTGGTCGACCCAT